ATAGTGTTTGTATTGATAGAATGGCTTGTATTATGATGATTCTTGCAAAACTCGATTTCAGAGTTCATTTTAAAAGGGAACTGCTTTTATCAGCCACGTGACAAACTCCAGGTATTGCTGCTCCTGCATTGAATGGCTCGAGGCAAGTGTTTGTCCCCTGGCAATCAGAAATCCACAGACATAAATTGGGATGGTTCATTTGTATAACCCCCCCAGGCTCTGTCTCTGGTTAACTGATGTGCCTCTCGTTAGGGAACTGGGAGAGAAGGAGATAATTAAGCCTGGGCAGATGGACTAGGACAGGATTTTGGCTCGGAAACAAGGGGGCTGGATGATGTGCTCCTGACCTGGGGAACCAGGACAGGGTGAGTTTGTGTTTGCCCTTCCCAAAATGGACTTTGTGCTTTAGGATGAGAGACACAGGGACTACTTACCCCCAAGTACTCTTAGATTATCAGAGTGGAGAGCACCTCCCAAATGCCTCTGGAGAAAGCTCACGCTTTCCCTCAGGCTCAGGGAGGTTGTTTCAGAGGAAACTGCCTGCTCAAAGCACTGAGGACTGCATGTCCCTATGCTTTTAGCAGCACCCGCTGCTGTTCTACTGGTTGCACTTCTGTTTGTTAAAAACAACAACGCCTTTTTCCCCTCCTGAGACTGTGGTGGTGCCAAAGAAGCTTTACTGTACCCCTGTGAGATGCTGAGATGGGAATTCTACTTGCTGAGGAACAGCCTGGACACTGTGCTTTTGCTCCTGAAGCTGCCAAGCCCAAGACCCACTCTGTAAGGCACAAAAAAAAAGGTATTTCACATAACTCAGTGCAGCATGGAGCGTGTCCCAGCACCAGGGCACCCCCTGTTCTGGGCACCCATGAGGTTTTTATTGGTAGCTGATGAGCTGGGGCCTGCTGCTGCATTCACAGCCCTGAACAAAGGCCCAAATGCTTTGTTGGATTCTTCCTTGGCAGCCTCTCTGCTGTCCCCAAAAGCTTGCCTTTCTGCTGCACAAGGAAGCTGGTGTGGGGATCATTGTTAAGCTCCAAGCATGGTTTTTTCATGTCTTCCTCTTGAACACAATGTATCTTCAGATCTTAAATGCCAGGAAAATCCTGTACAGTTAGTCCTTTGGGAAAGGCCAAAAAACCCTTCGAAGAGCTCCTGGATTCTACAAACGCTCATTAAGAGATGAGGATTTAAGATCCTATCATCAGCTTTTGTACCAAGAATTGGATACAAGAGGGATTGCTGCAGGGCTGGCTGGAGCACAAAGCTGATTTCCTAAATTTTCAAGGATGATAAACAAGAGTGTGAACTCTGCAGGTGGTTTGGCCACTATCCAATGAAGCTGTGCAATGGTTGTGCTTAGTGACTCGATGGTTGGGAAATGGCATGACTGGAGCCCATGCTTAACCTTGGAACGTGTCTCTATTGGTGTTTGTTAGAAGTTGACCTGACTTAGCCTCAGCTTAGAGACCAGATGAAGAATCACAGAATCATTAAGGTTGGAAGAGACCTCTAAGATCACCAAGTCCAACCCCATCCCACTCCCACCATGCCCACAGAGTGTGTCCATCTGTGCCTTCATCTCCAGCTCCACCACCTCCCTTGGCAGCCTGTTCCATTGCCTCACCACTCTTTCAGAGAAGCAGTTTTTCCTCATATCCAACCTGGAAGCTGAGAGGGATGCATCTTTATGAACAAAGCCCTAAACACGAGTGACTACATAGACTGAAGAATATAAAAGTAGGCCAAAACCACTGTGCATCTCATCTGTATGCACTGGGACCTTGGATCTACCTATGGAATCTGTAGAGAAAGCACTACAGTGCCCCATTGTGTGCTAAGAAAACAAGAAAAAAAGTGGCTTAGTAGAGGTAACAGTGGTGTATTGGGTTGCTGTAGGTATTTGTATACTAATCTGAAGCTCCTACACCTTTTCTTTAAGCACAGCTGAACTCACTTCCTGGCACGTTGCATTTTACTTTTTCACCTTTTTTAATTATAGGTGACCTGGAAAGAAAGAAAACAGCATCTGCAAGCTTTGGTTGCTGTGTGTAGTCAAGGACTGAAAGGTGCTTGTTCCTAAATCCCTTTCTTCTGCTTTGGTCTGTGTTGGAAACTGCAGTTGTCATAACTCTACCAGCTCAGATATGGGTGTACAAAACTTCCTGTTCTATCCTTCAGGTCATTTGTTTGGCATAAAAACCCAAATACTGTGTGTGTATGGAAAGTCCCATCTGAGCTGCTCTTCTAGAACATGTTTTCCTGAGATAACTTTTTTCTTTAAAGTTGTAAAGACTTCAGAATGTTCCAGTCCCATCCCTGAAGGCATTCAAAGCTTAGATGAATGAATGAAACTAGATGATCATTATGGTCCTTTTCAACCAGTCCATTCTATGATTCTGTGAACTTCAGTTTTGAGATTTCAGATGTGTCCTTTCGTGACGTGGATGCTGAATCAGCAGGCCCAGTAACAATGGTGTTGAGTTAATGGACATACCTATGTAAAGTGAGTTGTATTGATATTAGGTGGACAGCCCCATGGGTGTTGCTCATTCCATAGATTTTTCCATCTGCTCGTGAGTCACTGCGAGTTGTCTGCTGAAAAGGAAGAGCAAAACTGAACTTGTTCTTGAAAAACATGCATATCTAGTAAAGAAGGAACAGAAATCTACAGGTGCCACGGTGTGATGTGCCCCGAAACAAGCATGTGGGTCTGGAGGGGCATTGCTTGTTACTTCAGATTGGGTTGTTAACAGGAGGTAGGAAATTCAGCTTGAAGCCACGCAATGGCTCTTCCCTGTGCCACACGAGGTCATAGAATCATTAAGTTGGCTTGAGTTGAAAGGGACCTCAAAGACCATCTAGTTTCTACCCCTTGTTCTGATCCCCATCCACTTCAGTGCTTCAGTTTACAATTCAAGCACAGCTTGCTCTGCCTGTTGTTGTGAATGGGTGTGAATGCTGCCTCGGTTCTGAAGATGAAGGTTTGATTATTTACAAAACTCTTCAAAAACAGTTAACAAAAAAAAACCCCAACCCATGCAGATGTGACCTTGGTGAGCAAGAAGTGCATTGTGGGGTATACCCATGTGCTCTTGGCATCTGCTAGTGTGGGGTTGGAAGAGGACTTTGGGGTTTTTGTGGGAGACATCCCAGTGTGAAGTGTCTGTTAAAACAATTCTCATCACTCTCATTTCTGGTAGAGGGGAACAAAGAAGATTCCATTTCCAGAACTGGTAACTGTCCAGTGTCAAAGCATCTTGAAATTCAACCCAGTATAGCTCTGAGTTTACCAGAACAAAAAGATTTGCTTTGACACTTTCTCCCTCTCCCTATGAAGCTCTTCATCTCATTCAGAATCAAAAGCTTGAGCTATTTCTGGATTTCTCATAAATGAAAGCTCTTGCAGGAGCTCAGCTGCTGACCTCCTCTGCATCTGTCTGTGTTGACTACAAACATGTCGTATCCCTGGGGCTTTGCAGCTCGGGGATATATTGTATATTTTGGGTATTGTGCTGCTGTTACCGAGGTGGCAGTTTCTAAATGACTGTGTAGGTTTCTTGGAGTGGAAAAAAATATGTTGTTAAAGCCTACAGAAAGCTTCACTTGTGGGGAAGGAATATTCTTAGAACAGCTATGTCATTGGGAAGCCAAAAGTGAAGGATTGCAATTGCAGGAACGTGTGCAAGGAGCGTCCTGCTCTTAGGAGAGCTGATATATTCTTGTTAAATGCTCATCTGACCTGTGGTTAAATCTTAGACGTGGTGTCAGGTGTAGCATGTGTTGGGAGCCAGGCTCTCCATTCTGTGGTTTTACAGCTTCTTAAATTCTCTCAAAGAGAGGTAATCAACTGTACTGAGCCCAACTGGAAAAAGAAACGATTGTGTTTTCTCCTTCTGCTGTTTCACTCCAAATGCACTTGAAATTTCTCGCTTGTTTGGGAAGTTTGATTATTATTCGTGCGTTAAATACTCCGTTCCACCAGTATGTACAATCTCCATGGTAACAAACTTCTCCTGATGGAAGCCGTGGCAGTGCAAACATATCTCATGGCTCAGCTCAGAGGCAGGTGTGTGCCCATGTAAATTAACACTGCTGTCTTCAGGGCTTCTGGATGTGACTTTGGTTTCTTCTGTGGCTGTAGATGTCAGCGTGTTGAATTCTGTGCCGTGCAGTGGCTCTGGTTTGGTGGCTGAGGGTGCAAGGGTACCCATTTATTTCCCTTTGTTCTTACTAGGTGAGTGGCTTATGGAACTCTTTTGGGAGGCCCTGTGTTCCTGTACCATTGCTCTACATTATGTCTACCTTGCTACTCCTTTCCTATAGGATGTCATCTTCAAACTGACCATTATAAAATCATAGAATGGCCTGGGTTGAAAAGGAACACAATGGTCACCTAGTTTCAACCCCCCCTGCTATGTGCAGGGTCACCAACCACCAGACCAGGCTGCCCAGAGCCACATCCAGCCTGGTCTTGAATGCCTCCAGGGATGGGGCATCCACAACATCCTTGAGCAACCTGTTCCAGTGCATCACCACCCTCTGTGTTATCTCCAACTAGAATCCATTTTAAAAATTTGCTTATCACAGGTACTTATTATAGACTGACTACACTTAAATTCTCTTCATTCGATGTCCTCTTTTCTTTAGATTTGAATAAATTTCATTTCCTGGTGCTTGTAGAAGGAATGTTGCTGTTGTGTTACAGTCACAGGTTGAGTTGGAAGGGATCTTAGTTATCATGGAATGATAGAATGGTTTGAGTTGGAAGGGACCTTATGGACAATAGAGCGTTGGAATGGTTTGGGTTGGAAGGGACCTTAAATATCATAGTATGATAAAATGGTTTGAGTTGGAAGGGACCTTAAGAACAATAGAACATTGGAATGTTTTGGGTTGGAAGGGACCATAGAGATCCTAAAATAATTGGGTTGGAAAGGACCTTAAAGATCATAGAATCTTTTCCAGTCTGAAAACCCTCAGCCTGCCTTCATAGCAGAGGTGCTCCAGCTTTCTGAGCATCCTCATGGCTCTCCTCCAGACCTACTCCAACAGCTCCACCTCATTCTAAATCCCTTCCACCAGGTCTGGTTCTTTCCTTTCACATTCAATAATCTTGTCCATCAGCTTCTTCTCTCCTTGACTGATGGCAACCTTTCTTTAGCAGTGCTCACTCAGGGCAGTTTCATGTAATTTCTTTCCATCATAGTTCTCCTGGGTTTCACCAGGTCACGTAACTCAAAAAAGCTCTGCTGTGATGCAAATCAGAAGGTGTTTCTTTGGCTCTGTACATCTTCTCATCTTTCTTCATGATATCTGGTAAAATGAAGGCCTGATGCTTGTATGTGTCATGTTCTTCCTCGTCTCCAAATGCAAATGAATTGCACGCTAATCAGCAGTGCATAGCTGGAGTTGAGCTACAGTGCTGTTATCTGCTGTCAAAACAACACTAATTGTGGTCTCATCTAATCTGATTGTGAAGGATAAATCGAGTCCAGTCTTTTTTTTTTTTCCTCTACAGCAAGAGTACGTATCTGTCTCCTATCTCTTTTTCTTAACAAACTGAAACTTTTCAAGGGAACAGTAGGGAGGGGAGGGGGACAATGGGTTCTTTCATCTCCTGTGGGATAAGGATGGTGTTGCTCCACCCAGCAAGGCGTGGGATGCACTTTACATTGCCTGTTGGTTGTTCCTTTCACTTCTGCTGGGAGAAGACCACTTTGAAGCCCAGAGTATCCTCTTTATAGGAAAAAAGTTGACTCTGAATCAGTTGATAGCGGACTACTCATGCAGAACGTCTTCTGGGAAACAAAGCTGGCTTGTCTTTTCTACCTTATGCTCATTACTCCAGTTTCTTGGCATGAAGTTTAGTGCAGAACAGCCAGACAGAATTCATCAGGAGCTCCGAAGAATGCAAACCAAGCTGGAGAAATGGCAGCTTCTGCTCCCAAAATCCCAGTCCCACCTTTAGTGTATGTATCAGCAGTGTTCATATCCAAACTATAACAGCAACCCAGCATAGGTTCCTCTTCAATTATTCATTTGTTTTTCACCAGCTTATAGAGCACTTTCAGTTGCGTTAACAGTCGCAAGTGGAACCTTTGTGGTGCACTTCCCCTTTTCTCTGCTGTAGGTGAGTTTTGCCTTCCAGAGCAGAGGGATTCTCAGACAAACCCTATACAAGCAAAGGAAAATCTGGATTTGCCTCAGGTGCATGAGGACAAACTGCAAATTGCCCCAGTGTTTCCCTGACAGCTTGTGGATATCTCCACCACGATTCATACACTGTATCATAGGATCATAGAATGGCTTGGGTTGGAAGGGACCCCAAGGATCGTGAAGCTTCAACCCCCCCCACCACATGCAGGGCCACCAATCTCCACATTTAATACTAGATCAGGCAGCCCAGGGCCCCATCCAATCTGGCCTTGCAGTGTACTTGTACCAGAAATGGATATGCTGTGTGCTAAGAAGCACTGAAAGCTGTGGCAGTGAGGATCACTAACTTGGGGGGGGAAAAACCAATGGATGTTAATGATCTCATTGTGGTTAGCCTGGAGTTCAGCCTGGGGTTTTCAGATTGTTTGAGCTTAAAGAGTCCTTTAAAGGCCATCTTGTCCAACTGCCCAGCAATGAACAGAGAGACATCTACAGCTCAATCAGGATGCTCAGATTGCTCAAAAGTATTTTCAGTGTAATACTTGTAGCTGGAAAACTGATTTGTCCAGGCTTCAAGCTGAGGTGAATTTCAAGGCAACATAAGAGTGGGGATGCTTTCTATTTTGATTTAGGCTCAATGTTTGCCAGGAAAAAAACACTCAGCCCTGCAAACAGACTGGCCATCTGTTGGCCACAACGTGCATCTGGGATTTTTGGGAGATCTGGGGGTAAGGCCGTATCCTGACAGAGCTTTTCATTCCTGCAGGATTGCTTCAGATCAATGGCAGTGGGTGGCCCTGCACGAGGCCACGTGGGAGGATGAGGGAATGGGAACTTGACCCTGTGAGAGGCAAACCCACAGCAGTGGGTCTATTTCTAGCATGCTCGGTCAGTCTCTAACCCTCCAGATTTGTGTGGTTGGGTGGTTGTTGGTTTGTGTTTTGTTTTTTTTTTTTGTCTATTCTGCTTTGGGACAGAATGCTTTAAATCTCTTCTGATTCTGACCAAAGCAGCAATTTCCTACTAGCTCAACCCCTGAACAATAGAGCCTTGATCTTGATAGGGGGCTCTGGATGTTACTGTAATGCTAATAGGTAGCACAGTTGGCCTTTGCGCTTCTGGCACGTTTCAGGCATTATATAGGGAGCCTGTAATCAGCTGCAGAAAAAAATTCCCTTTTGTCTCTCTCCTAGCAACCTCTTCTGAACTGATATTTGAAAATAGGCTTTGCTTTCCATGTCATGACATAAATATTTTCAGCACATACTGAAAACTCCCTTAACAGAGGTGGGGCTGAGATCATTTGTCTTTAGGTCCTTGGGACTCCCTCCTGGTTGCTGTGATCTTAAGGTAATGCTGTTGAAATCTTTATCCACCAGAAACAGGAACTTGTGTCCAGGTTGTGTTCTTCTCTCCCATCTTTTGCACTGTATTTGTCACAAAGTCAAAGCAGCATAGATAGGTGATAAGGTGGCCATTAGTTGCCTGGATTTGTAAGAGCAAGCTGAGAATTTTGAAAGAGATTTCTGGATTTTTATTCAATGTTTGAGTATATAGGATGAGTTGCAAGCTGGCTACATAGTTCTAATCTTGCTTCAGTGTACATACATTGTGTGTCCTGTCCTGGAAACAAGGCAGACTGTTCACACCAGCAGGAATTGCCACTGGAATCAAGAATATTGAAGCCTTTTTCCATTAACTGATTATTCTTTTTCTGCTTATGTACATAGTGAGTGCAGCAACAAGCAATGTTGGGCACAGAGGAGTTCATTTGAACGGAGTAGACTTAGATAAGGTGAGGATTATGTGGTTTCCCCCATAAACACTGATGGTCTTTGAAGTCCTAGGATGGCTTTGCACAGATTTGCATCCCATCTACTTCTTGCATCTGCCCTGATGGAAGAATAACCATCCTGAGAAAAATACATTGGAGCTATTGTAAGGTTGGAACAGACCTCTGGGACCATCTAGTCTAAGCATCGAGACCCATCCCCACCATACCCACTAAAGGTACCCAAGTGCCATATCTCCATATCTTCTTACTAATTGGGATTTTAGGGCCTTGTCACAACAGGGAGAACAATCAAATATACCACTGCATCACTTGCTAATAGGTTTTCTAACTTAGACTTGAGTCTCAGTGCAGAAAACTCTTTTATTTATGATCAACGTTAACATGTGCAGCTGAATAGCATGCATGCTGCAGCTGCTCAGGAGTTTGTTCTGAAGATCAGGCTTGGAGAGCTGTTTTTTATTAAGTGGTACTTAGGATTTAGTCCTAACTAAAACCATTTGTGTTGAACTTGATCTGCAAAGCTGCTGTAAGTGTTAACATACTTCAGTAGTAAACATTTCACTCTTGGGCATCATCACACACAAAGGGTTTGTGAAAGAGCCCCTTTCTGAACGTGGAATAGTTATCCATTAGACAAGTGCTTCTTCAAAGGAATTCAGACTGTGTTTAAAACATAGAGCTTTCCACAGGGTGATGTGGATGGATATCCTTTAGGGATGTGCAAAGAAATCTGGCTTTTAGTAGAGAAACCACTAGAACTTGGGGCAGAAAGGTATTGAGCTGCTTTAGGTGACACTCAAGTGCAGTTCTGAAGTTCTTTGCTGCTAAGCTGCAGGGCAGAGCAGCTAGCAGAAATCTCCTGATCCCAAATTGCTGTAAACTTTTCTCCCCTCCCCATGAGAATGAGAAAAAAGGTGGTTGCAGCCAAAGTCTTCTGGAGCCAGAACTGTGGGAAAAACTGTTCTCCAGTCTGAGAGTCGGCGTGAGTCAGGAACTGCTGTAAATCCTGATGGATACTGCAGATGAAGCTTGAATCTCTTGTATATACGAGTATGTGTGCATGCTCCTGGGCCACTTGGGGATCCAGGAGCCTCTTCCCATAGATCATAATGTGGGATTGTGGCTGGTGATGGGAATTATTGGCTCCTTCTGGTGGGTCCCAAGCAGTTCCTGGTATCAGAAGCATGTAAAGTGCATGTTCATGGCCACCCCCTTATCTCAAAGCTGGGTTACCTCAGGGGTGCTGAGGCAATCTGAAGTTCAGTAAACCTTTGATTTCTTCTTGCCCCATCTTTTCCAGTGCTTCCCTCATAATTCATATTAAGGTTATTGATGAAAGGTAATCACTGTAGGATATTATTCACAATCCATTAACTCTGATTGGTAGCAGAATTCTTCAGCAAGCTTGGGTGCCAAAACATCAGTGCTAATTGTCTTAACTGAGCCTTATGTGGAATGGAAATCTCTCACCTTTTAGTTTATATTCCCTTCTTCCCAAAGCTCTGGCACTTTGATTCTTTCCTTTAGGTGATGGAAAATACTGTTGTTCTTTTAGCACTCTGCTGGTGCCTTAGAATCTCACCCTTCTGCCATCTCTCCAAAGACGCCGAGTTTTTTGGTCTTGCAAGTCAAATTAACATGAGATTGCTGTCATTTGCATCGTAGCTGTGGGAGGCCATCTGACAGCACCGAAGGCAGCCAAGTAGAATGGAATTCATCAGCACTCGCATTTGTCAGAGTAGGAATCAAGGAGAACTCCACTTCTCTAATCCATGCAGGAGGGTAAACATCCAGCATGAGCAGTGCGTTTCAGGATGCTCAAATTGCATGTTGTCAGGTACTTGAGATGTTTGGGCTTAAACTGTTTGGTTTCACAGGTTTTCAGCAGGTTACTCCTCTCTGAGTTGATGGTTTTGTTTCTCTGCTTCAATGTTTTCCTTTACTTGATATATCAGGATTGAGAGCAAGCACGAGGTCACAATCTTAGGAGGACTCAATGAATTTGTTGTGAAGTTTTATGGACCACAAGGAAGTAAGTACATGACACATCTCTTCTATGAAAACAAGGTAACTGTTCATAGTAGGGGTGGTATAGAACCATTATGCTTGGAAAAGACCTCTGTGATCACCAAGTCCCAACCATCAACCCATCCCCATCATGCCCGCTGACCCATATTCCTAAATAGAATCATAGAGATCTTCTCCAACCTTAATGATTCTAAGGTCACCAAGTCCAACCATCAGCCCATCCCCACCATGCTCATTAAGCCATATCCCTAAATAGAATCATTTAAGTTGGAGAAGGCCACTGTGATCACCAAGTCCCAACCAACAGCTCATCACAGCCATGCCCATATTTCTCAGTGCCATGATGTCTGAAACAAGGGAATAGTTGAGCAAATCCAAACGGGGGTGAGATGTCAAGGCTGGTGGCTCTTGAAGGTTGTTCTCTCAAGGGTGGGGAAAATGCAGTGTAGATCAACTTCCCCTTGGTGCTGAACAGCTTTGGACATCGACCACCAAGCCCTCTGCTGTGACTTTCAGCACTACTCTCATTAATCATTAACTCTTCCAGACATGACTTAAATTTTGCATCACCATCATCTGAATGTTTGTGGAGTTGGTAATGACGGTGGCTTTTCCATTGACTAGATTACAAGGCAGGTCTCCAGCTTGCCTTAATTTAGCAACATCTCTAAAGTTAAGTAGCTTATTCAAACTCTCTGCTTAGAATAAGGCTCTTGGGCCTTTGTGCAGAGATCTTTTGCAGTATAAGTTAAAATCAGGTATTTCTTCTGAGGCAGTACAGGCAGAAGGCTTTTACCATAGGAGGTTCATTGTGAAATCATACCCTCTGGTGGGACTTGAGTGTTCCTCCAAAGATGTGTTTTGTTTATTGCTGTTGTTCTATTTATTCTCACCTGAGTTATGAAGCATGTCTAATAGCTGTGTTTCTTTCCTTGCAGCACCGTATGAAGGTGGAGTATGGAAAGTTAGAGTCGACCTTCCTGATAAATACCCCTTCAAATCCCCATCTATAGGTAACCAATAATCACAAAACCTTGAAGTGCATGGGAATGAAGGCAGGGGCTGAAGCTGTTGTCCTCTTGGACGAGGTGATGCCTGTGTGGAAGAATATAGAAGCAGGGTCTTATCAGCAGAGGAATTGCAGCTGGCCAGACTGGTTGGACCTGTTTCACTTTGGAGAGCAAATAGGAAGTTTGATAAGGAAATGTTCTTTAGACTGTATCCATCTATCTTTGCCCTTGAGTAACGGTGATCTAAGTCAGATGTCTTCTAGTACCAAACTTTTCCAATCGTTTAGGCTGTAAATAGCCACTATTGCCTGAAAAACTGGAGCAGATGAACAAAGGGTCAATTTTAATATTCTGGCTTGCAGAATAAGTGCTGGTAACTTTGTGCTGTGGCATTTCTTTCCTGGAAGGGTGTACTTGTGGCTGAAGGCATCAGAGGGAACTGAAGAATTGAGAGAAGTGATGTGGGAACATGACTGTATGGGGTGGACCAGATGGGTCCCATCCAATATCAACATCCTGACTTGGAGCTGATGAGTATTGGCTGCTTTCTTAAAATAGACATTAACTTAAGACTGCCATCTATTTAAAATCCTGTGTGAGAAGTAATGTCTGCTTCCCACAGTGAACTGTGCCTTTTGGGAAAGAGCAGTGTTGTTTTTCACCCAACCCTTTACCTTTCTTTATTTTTTTGTTGCAAGCTGGACTGAAGCACAGCAGTGTGCACATAGTTGAGCAGCGGTGCTGCTGCAGCTACACTGACCATTTTCTGCTTCTTCCTGAGTCAGCTCTGAAATCTCTTATAAATTTCCTAAATTGGAGACAGTTTGAGATGCACAGTGTTACTCAGTGCCACTCACTGTCCCCTCTCCATTTCTCCTTCTCACAAACAGGTGCAGATCAGGGCACTGCCACACTGACAGTCCTAAACGTGGGCAGGCTGCAGACAAAACCCTAAACTCCAGTTTCTTTGTTGTTAAATGCTTTGCTACAAGTCTACTGAGGATCATTTTTCTTTCTTCCTATGTGTATTTTGAATCAAGTTTGTTGACATAACACGAAAACAAACTCTCTTCCCAGTACCCTGGGAAGCCAACACAGCTAAACGAGGCTCTCGTGCATTTGTATTGCTTTTGATTTAGGCTTCAGTTATTGTTCTGAAGGAGGTAGGGTTGACTTTTTGGTGATTTAGCTTTAGGGTGTCGGGGTACAGAGGAGTTAAAGGCAACCTGAGCTGAAAGCTGACCCAACTTCATTGTATCCCTGCTTTTGAGGGATTTTTTGCTTTGTCCTTTCTGACATCTTCCTTTTTTAACACAGCATCTTTCCATCCATTTCCTACCTCATTCTGGGCTCAGCAGACCCCTCCAGCATTGCCTTCCAAGTCCCTGTTTGTACAGCTGAAAGCACTGCTCCTCTTGCTGAGCCGCCCAAAAGGCTGAATGCTGCTGCAGGGCCGCATTGCTGGCACCCAGGAGAACATTGCTGGCTCCCTCCTGGGTAGAGCAGTGTGTAGCTTAGGTTTCAGGTTGAATAAACAGTTGATGCTAGATGGAGGGCTGGCACAGAGCTCAACTACAGGGCAGAGAAACTGGGGGAATGGGAGCACTGGGACCCGGGGAAGCTCCCCACTAGCTGCAGGAAAAGGTTTGTTTTTCATTGTCTGATTCCTGTTTCAGCTGCTCCAGCCCAGCTTATCGTAGCAGCCAGAGCCAAGCAGTGTCTCAGCCCCTTCCTCTGGGCCACTCCGATCTCTGCAGCACTGTTCCTGCAGGCAGACATGCAGTTGGGCTGTGCTGATAACTCCAAGCAAGCCTTCAGCCTGCTGAATCCAAAGTGAAACAAGCTCAAGAGTGAGACAAGGTCCTCTTCTCTCCCCATCAGCTGAGAGCAGTTCCAGGGAGAATGAGAATCCCAACCCAGACATCCTCAAACACTTTGAGCTCTGGATAACACAGGGTAGGAGTTAGTGGGGAGGAATCTGAAGGATTTCAGAGGTGGTGGAGCCCCAGAGTGGACAGAAAGGTCACCTAAAGCACACACATAGCTTGTCTGCAGCTTTTCTGTTCTCAGCACTGCAGAGATCCCACTGCAGCGATGACACAGAGTTCAGACAGTCTGTGTAAGTCACTGAGATGTATAAAGAAAGAAATCAACTTCTATTCCTTTAATATGTTACTCTTTTATGCTGAAGCTTAAAGTAGGAATACTGTTCTTGCAGCTTTCCTTGTTCTGTAGAGCTGTAGGCTAACATTTTCTTTCAGCCTCAGAAATTCTAAATGCAATCTTGAACGTAGCATTGGCTTTTTGCAGCAAATAGCACAATGGCTGGAAGCATATCCATGCATTCTGGAAAGCCACTTGTGAAAAATGACTGCTAATCGTTGCTCTCTAATCTCTTCCAATTGCTTTTATCCCAGCATGGCTCTGGGTATGATGTAGGTGAAATCTTAGCCCAGCTCAACTTTGTGTTTTCTTCCAATGTGTGCTGAACAAGAAGAGGCTCTGGATTTAGGGCTTGTGATGACATAGAGCTTTTCTTAAAACCTAAAAGAGCAGTGGTCCTCTTTGCCTTTGAAGATCTGTGGTCTCTTGAAGGAGCCTTCATCTACCTGTTAAATCTCTGCTCCCTCATCCCATCCACAGCTCCCATCTCTCATAGCGTTTATTTCCAGTCCTTCTCAGGTTGGTAATTATCACTGTTGCCAATTAAATGATGCCACCTCAGGGATAGTGCCCTCCTGACAATATGCATAATACATTTATGGAGCTAAACCACCTTGGGACCTATGTGAAAAGAGCAGTTCCTATGAGGGTTTCCAGGGTGCAGCAGCTTTCTGGTATTTCTGGTAGCACCTGTTCCTTGCTCAGGCTTTGCCATTCCATGTTACCTGGGTGCTGGATTCTTTTCCTAGCAAGAAAAGAGGAGAATAAGAGTGCACACCTACATAGAACAGTGCTCTCATTCTGACACTGGGCTTGAGTGCCCCTGTTGAGACCAGCTCTGCTTACAGTCACCAAATCCACACCTTCAAAATTCCAACAAACCTCCTGAACTTGAGCAATGTGTTTATTAAAGCAAAGCCAACCCCCTGGAAAACACCCAGTTGGTTTTTGGAACTGCTGAACGCTGCTCATAATGCTTTTGTCAATTGATGTAAATATCCCTGTGTGCTTCTAAGGGCACAGAGTGCTCCCTTGCTCAATGTTTGCTTCCATTTTTGCGTCCTGCTAGACAATATATTTTGAGTTGTTTCTCGTTTCAGCTGGCACTGCTTCACTGCTTTCTTCTCCCCTTTGGGATTTGTTATCTTCAGGGGAACTGTGTGCCCACACTGTTTCTGCTTTTCTAAAGGGGAATTGTGACATGGGAGTTCAGAGCAGTACTTCAGTACTTCACAAGAGCACTTCGTGTCCATTTTGCATGTTTTTAATGTCTGTATCTCTGCCAAGAGCTTTTTGATACCACAAACGCATAAGGAAGAAGTGCAGGGTGTATGTCCTGCCTGTTAGATACTCAGAGCAGTGATAGTGGGCACATGGGAGCCTGAGTTCTTTCCTAGGTGTTTACTTTATTGCTAAAACCTGCAGAAAAATTAGGCAGAAAGATCTGATTTCTTGTTAATCGAGTTCATGCACAGCGTGCTCAGAGACCTCAGTTTCTCCAAGAACTTCTTCGTATTTATGCACAGCTCTCATTTTCCTTCCATCTCTGCTCTCTGCAGGTATCTTTCCTTTGTGTTTTGCTGTTCTCTCAAGTGCTTTCCAAAATGAAACGCACGCACACACACTTCCATTCCTCTTTATATGTGTACATCTCCACCAAGAGATGCTGGCACCCATACAGGAACGAGGGAGCACTCAGCTCCAGCCAGGATCTGTCACATCTCTCCTGGCCTGTGCTTAATTCTTCTTTTTAACTGCAGCTGCTATTTTTTTTTTTTTCCTTCCAGCTCCTCTCTGGTTTGCCTTACATTTTGCTGCTCAGAATCTCATGAGTCACTTCTTGCCCGTGACTGCTCCAAGCAGTGCATGTTGATCCCAATTCTGACCTATAAGCGATGGGAAAACGTTTGTTCTCCCAAATGTACTTATCTTTGTGTACAGGGAAAGATGAGACACCTGAAGGGAATTTGTATCCCCATCTCCACTCCGCTCTGACGC